ATATTTTAGTTTGTCTTGTTTATTTTTTTCATTCGATCAGATAAGATTTTAAGCTGTCATATGGTCAAGTCACAACGTGCCCCTCAGATGTTACAATGTGTTCCACCTACGGGGCATGTTGTCACATTTTTTGAGGCTAAATAAAGTAAAACGTATACACTGTAATTATGAAACAAAGCGACATATTTGTACTAGACAAGTGTAAAATTACCGTGGATAAAAAAATATATATATTCTGAACCCCATGTAGATTTACACAAACTGAGAAAGTCAAAAAGTGTTACTTTGTTGCCCGCTCTCCCCTACCTCTGTAAATAAATACAATATAAATTCACGTCTCGCGCACTTTAATGCCCTTTGAATGTAATGTGTATGTTCCCTTGGAACTGGAATCATGGCGGAATTTCATGTGAAGTCCACTTCGCAGGGCACTTACGGTCGAATAAGACAACGCGTGAATGCTGCCTGAACAAGAAACCTCCTTACTGAAGGGAAAGTGTTGACTGGTGTCACTATCTCGCGAACGCGCCGGCGGATCTCCACCAAATTCGGGGGATCCCTTCAGCTCGAGGAGCCCTCTCGAACGCCACCCTCCGCGTGTCGGTAGCCCCCCGGGATCGGTCGGCGCCGGACCGCGAATTTAACCACCCGTAACTCCCAAACACTGGGGGCTATCCACGCAGGGGTGGTCTCATTCGAAACAGGGCCTCGAGACGTACACTCGATTCGCGTTCGAGAGGGATCCTTGAGCTGAAGAGACCCCTGAATTTGGTGCAGATTCGCCGCGCCGTTACGGAGATATGGCGGTTCAAAGTTTCAGTGGTTTTCCATTGACTTAAGCTTTAAAGCGTTTCATCCAGGTCGCCAGTAGCAAACAATGGAGTGTGGACTCTGCTGGACAAACTAAGTAATTACAACATTTCAAGCATTTTATCTGCATTATATGTTCTGTAAAAAAAAAATTCATATCAGCGGCATATTCGCCGATACCGATATATCGGCGACAGGCTCATATCGGCCGATAATATCGGCAAAACGATATATCGGTCGAGCTCTAATCTGAATGCAACTGACTCCTCAGAAACGTGTCGTTGGAATTTTAATTTCATTTTACTTATAATTCCTGATAAAGCAGCGTTTATGAGCGCAGAGCTGCTTTGTGTACAGCCGTTACCGGGGAAACCACAATATTTCAGCGCTCCTAAAGCGCCACCTCGTGGCAGAGAATGAATTTGCATTTCAAATAAGCCTTTCTTGCCGTTTATGTTCAGATCAATGCAAATATCAACTCATGTTTTTACGCAACAAACACAGAGTTGTAAATGAGAAAGAAGTTAATGTGCCTTCTAAAAATCTAAACAATTAAGACAGTAATATTTATACGTTTTAAATTGACAATTTATATGCTTGGTTTATCCCTTTTCATAAAAATGGTCTAAAGGCTGAAATGCTGTTGTATAAGATTCTTGTTTTTGTGAAAACCTGTATCTGAACTGTTAATCGTGTAATTTTATGGCTCAATACTGTATGTTACCATAGACATTGTCCAAGCAATGTTACAATAGACATTGTTACTTGTGCAGCTCTTAAAATGGGTCATAAATTGCCTTATTTTTTTTTTTTAATTCTGCAGATACCCTGTGAGTAGTGAAATATTTGTTGATATTTGTGTATTGAAAATGGTTTTGATTGACAATTAAATCTGAATTTCTATATTTAAAAAAAAAAGGTCTTTTTTTTTTTATTGGGCTAGTTAAATAAATTTTTGGCTACCAAAATCTGAAGAGTACCTGCCCGAAGGGCTACCAGGGGTTTTGAAATTTTGCGAGCCCTGCACATTGATTGTGCTAATTGAGTCTAAAAATCATTCACTTGCTCTTCCTGAACAAACTGTTTTCAGGAGAGGAAAGCAGCAAGAGCCAGCAAGGAGGCACTCAAGCAGCTTCACAGTGAGAGTCAGAGACTTGTGCGAGGTCAGTCAGAAGTTACATCTGCTAGGCGCTAAAAGGCTTGGCTCTTGGCATTTACATGCACTTTAAAGGGTTAGTTTCAACATTGATAATAAGATTAAATGTTTCTCGAACACCAAATCAGCATATTAAGAATGATTTCTGATGGATCATGTGACTCTGAAGAACGGAGTAATGACTGCTGAAAATTCAGCTTTGCAATCACAGGAATAATTTACATTATTAAATGTTTTCAAATAGAAAACATTTCCAAAAACATACAAAATCTCCAAACTTTCTCCAAACATGTTGTGTAGATGGGGCAAATATCATCTTGTGATAAAAAAAAAAAAAAAGTTACTTTCTGACACGGTTTTCTTTTACATTTGCAGAGTCTATGCTCAATCTGATGATCGACCCTAAAATGAAAATTCTGTCATTAATTACTCACCCTTGTGTTGTTCCAAACCCATAAGACCATCGTTCATCTTCGGAACAAAATTTAAGATAATTTTTATGAAATCTGAGGGCTATTTGACCCTCCCATAGACAGCAAGGTAACTACCACGTTCAAAGTCCAGAAACGTACCAAGATGATCGACAAAGTAGGCACCGCCACATGCTCTCATCATGATACTGTTGTGAACGCGCATCCACAAGTGATGCAGTAGAGACGAAAATGTGGAATTAAAGTCGTTATTTTTGTTTTCTTTGTGCAAAAAAGTATTCTCGTAGCTTCGTAACTTTATAGTTGAACCACTGATGTCACACGGACTACTTTGTCGATCATCTTGGTACTTTTCTGGGCCTTGAACGTGGTAGTTACCTTGCTGTCTATGGGAGAGTCAGAGAGCCCTCGTATTTCATCAAAAATATCTTAAATTGTGTTCCGAAGATGAACGAAGGTCTTACGGGTTTCGAACAACACGAAGGTGAGTAATTAATGACAGATTTTTCATTTTTGGGTGAACTATCCCTTTAAGAGTTTGATTTTAAGTTTGACTAAAACAATTATTTGCCTTTTTAAAATGTTATGTAAATGCTTTAAGTCAGACTAAAATTGTAGCAAAATTGAAATTGACTGCAAAATTCGGACTAACATATATGCACTACCATGCAATGGTTTTGACGCAAATAAATACCTTTAAAGACATTTATAATGTTACAAACGTTTTCTATTTCAAGTGAATTCTGTTCTTTTGAACTTATGTATTTCGGTTTCCACAAAAAATATTAAGCAGCAAAACTGTTTTCAACATTGATAATAAGATTAAATGTTTCTCGAACACCAAATCAGCATATTAAGAATGATTTCTGATGGATCATGTGACTCTGAAGAACGGAGTAATGACTGCTGAAAATTCAGCTTTGCAATCACAGGAATAATTTACATTATTAAATGTTTTCAAATAGAAAACATTTCCAAAAACATACAAAATCTCCAAACTTTCTCCAAACATGTTGTGTAGATGGGGCAAATATCATCTTGTGATTAAAAAAAAAAAAAAAAAATTACTTTCTGACACTGTTTTCTTTTACATTTGCAGAGTCTATGCTCAATCTGCCATATTACATGCCAGAGCCCAAAAGTATTGACCAGTTCTTCAAGAGAAGACCTCGTCCAGAGGGTCGTGCCATGGCTTTGCTTAAGTATGAGATCAAGTTTATCACTAATGAGCTAATTTATCTCCTGTATACGTTCATACAGTGGAAATAACCAATATAATCTTTTTTTTCACTTGTCCTCAAGGTCTGCCAATTACCAGGCTTGTATTTTAGAGAGCACTACACAACCACCTCCAGATCAAGCCACAAGATCTCAGCACATGCCTGAGCAGGACTCAAGCCCTCCAACAGAATCATCTCTGGAAAACCAGTCCTCCACCATATCCCTACCTCTAGCAGACACCGCCACCAGCACTCATCAGGACAATCGTACCAATGATAGCGACTCACAGACCTCAAACGAAGCAGAAATAGAACATGACATAAGCACTGATGAACCCAAACCTGTGGGTCAAGAAAAAGAAACTCCCATTGAGCAAGAAACTGAGGGAGCTAAACGTCCAGACAAGGACCAAGTAAAGCAACAGGCCTCAGTTGATCAAGCCCAGACTGCTGCTCTGATGCTCAAACCGCGCAAGGATAAACTAGCCAGACTACAAGAGCTTGGTCTAGATCCTCCTCCTGTGGCGAAGTTGAGTGCAGATGATGGGGCTTTTGTCCAGCTGGAGCCACCTCAGGAAAACACAGGTGAGATATTTGGATTGTATCTTTTTAAATGTCCTTCACCCTTTTCCACAGTTGATGATTGATTTTGTGTGTGTATGTGTGTATGTGTGTATGTGTGTATGTGTGTGTGTGTGTGTGTGTGTGTGTGTGTGTGTGTGTGTGTGTGTGTGTGTGTGTGTGTGTGTGTGTGTGTGTGTGATATAGCTCTGAAAGCACTACAAGAACGCTTCATGAAGCACATCCAGCCTGCTCCTCGCCCTAGAAGGGAGCGCACATTGCAGCTTAATGTGGTGAGGAAAGACAGCGCCCCCTCAGGACAGGAAGAACTGCGCTCTGAATCAATCACAATAACTGTCAATGAGGGAGAGGATGAACCTGCAAATGTCAAACCAGGTACAGTCACTATTTTTATCACAGCGCTTTGTAGGTATGGAAGCCATTTTAATATGTGTATTCATTATTCCTTGTTTGCATTTTTGTAGGAGAGAAACTGGTACTGTTGAAGTCTCGCTTGCAACAAGCCATGGCCATCCGCAGGAAGGAGGAGAGGGAGCGCAGAGCTGCTCTGCATCGCCTTGACAACGAGGATTGTGAGGAAGAAGAGGAAGCAGAGATAACTGAGTCAGAGGATGAAGAGGTACTAGAAATTGGCATTTCTTTTGGATTTTCTTGTGTTGTGTTTTTGTGTAATCATTTCTCCAGATCTACTACTCTTTAACACGACTTTTCTCATTTTATAGTCATCAGTTTACTTTTTTTTTTTTTTTTTTTTTCCCCCATTCCTTTTTTTAGGGTGTTGATGAATTGTTGGGCGATGGTGGTGATGAAGAGGCGGTGGACGAAGAGGAAGGTGAAGATGACGTTTCAGCGAAAACATGCCGCTCCCCAGGCTTCAAAAGTCCCTCTCCAACTCCAGCGGACACTGATGGAACATTGATGCTTTTTGCCGGCAACTCCTGTTCCCGCACAGGGTATGTGTATGTTTCCTAATTAGGCTGCAACACACTCTCTGTAGTCCATACTAACTGAATGTCTTTTTCTGTCCAGGGATGGTGTAAGAAGATTAGGCACATCTGGCCATGAAGCTGACAATAAAATGGGTGAGTGCGTATGGATATTAAAGGGGTCATATGATGTTGCTAAAAAGAACATTATTTTGTGTATTTGGTGTAATGCAATGTGTTTTTGTGGTTTAAGGTTCAAAAACCACATTATTTTCCACATAATGTACATAATTGTTTCTCTTATATGCCCCGCCTTTCTGAAACGCGTCGATTTTTACAAGCTCATCGATCTGAAAAGCGAGGTGTGCTCTGATTGGCCAGCTATCCAGTGTGTTGTGATTGGCTGAATACCTCAAGCATGTGACAGAAATGTTACACCCCTTACCATACTGTGTTTCCATCATGCAGTCTATGGTTTCCATGTGTCCCGGCGCGACGAGACAAAACCAATAAAACCCATTACAAACGAGGCATTTGTTGCATCCAGTGGGGACATACTTACTGATTGTAATGACTTATACTGTGTTTTTACGCTTTGCGTTGCGTATTGCGCCGCGTAAATATAAAACCATGTCTGCATTTGTGATCGGAGAAATGACAAACAATAAGCGCTACTCTACAAATCTCGCGTTTGAATCATCAGTGGCAAATTCTTTAAATATAAAAAGCATAATTGCAGGCTGTGAGTCAGAAGCGCCAGACTGTCTTTGCAAAGTTGGAACTGCCCCACTTTATAGAAACATTGTCCTCTTTTGGAAGCCCAAACAAAGTAGTTTCGCTTTCACAACGAAACACACAGCGGCTTGAGTGAGCGGCGCCCGGCAGATTCGACAAAGGAGGCTTGGGGCAACCACATGTGACGACCCCGGGCTGGACTCTTGCTTCATCCACGGTGAAAGCCGATCCGGCGATTTGACAGCGGGAAGTTTGTGTATTTCCTCAGCGTCCAGCACGGATCAGCTCTAGGCATGACAAAGCGGATATCGTCCTCTTTTGGAAGGCCAAACAAAGTAGTTTCGCTTTCACAATGAAACACACAGAATATCCACAACATGGTGGCGGTAACAATACTACAGCGAGAATAAAAGTTATGCCTTCTTTCTTTGTGTGAACATTTGGGCGGCGTTATGCAAATCTTCCCACACAGTGACGTAGACATGTGGGGGCGTGTTTAAACGAGGGGTTTTAGGAGGGCATGGACGAGTCTTAAAGGGGTCATATGATGCTGCTAAAAAGAACATTATTTGGTGTAATGAAATGTGTTTATGCGGTTTAAAGTAAAAAAAAGAAACACATTATTTTCCACATACTGTACATTATTGTTTCTCCTCTATGCCCTGCCTTTTTGAAACGCGTCGATTTTTACAAAGCTCATCATTCTGAAAAGCGAGATGTGCTGTGATTGGCCAGCTATCCAGTGCGTTGTGATTGGCCGAATACCTGTGTGTGACGGAAATGTTACGCCCCTCACCATACTGTTAGAGTCAGAACAGCCGGCATTGAAATCTACTCTACCAGGATCAGGAAACCGTTCTCCATAAAATGTGCTGCACACATCTGGATATTTGGGTTGAACTGTTCTGGAACAGTGTTGTAAAAACAACTTAACCACTGATTTGTAGTCGTGTCCTCTTTTGGAAGACCAAATGAAGTAGTTTCGCTTTCACAACGAAACACGGCGGCCTAGTGTGAGCTGAGGCCGGGCTAGAGTGAGCAGTGGCGGGTGGGCTTGAGAACGGAGCGTCCAGCGGATTCGACGAAGGAGTGGCAACCACATGTGACGTCCCCGGAATAGACTCTGCTTCGTCCACAGTGAAAGCCAATCCGGCGATCCACAGCACTAAGTTGATGTATTCCCTCAGCGACCAGTACAGATCAGCTCTAGGCATGATGAAGCGGCTATCGTCCTCTTTTGGAAGTCCAAACAAAGTAGTTTCGCTTTCACAACGAAACACAGCTATTCATTACATGGCGGCGGCAACAATACTACAGCAAGAATAAAAGTTACGCCGCCTTTCTTTGCGTGAACATTTGGGCGACATTATGCAAATGTTCCCACACAGTGACGTAGATATGTGGGGGCGTGTTAGAACGAGCCGTTTTAGGTAGGCGTGGTTAACTCTTAACTTTTATAAAGAATATCTCTTTGGATTTGAGACTTTAGTCTTTGCAACTTTACAGATCTTCATGCACCAAGAGCTTGTAACACTCCAAAATTGAAAATTTTGAAAAATTTAAATTGCATCATATGACCCCTTTAAACACTCTATATTTTACAGCTTCTTATTTAAAACAATAAGTTATTATATCTGTTGCTCTGATAAATGGTCACGCTTTTAGTATCGTTAATATCAAATATATGTGAAATCGGACTGAAGTTTGGTTCTTTTCACAGAGGAGGATGACACCCTTTCATTGTCTAAGGACAACAGTCATAACAGTAGCTTTGAGCTGATGGGCTCAATGATCCCATCATACCAGCCAGTCAATAGAGCTGCAGGCAGAGGCCTGTCCAACAGTGCATTCCGCTCTCCATCTCCCTGCCTCTTCAGATCCAGCTTCCTCGGCTCTGCTTCAAAGGTGAGGGTCTCTTGCTTGACTGTTAAGCCAAGTGTGGCTTTATACAATCTTTTAATATATTTTGGTTTGGTTGATTGTGAATATTTGTATAACCACATGTTATATGAAAGTCATTATTAAGGTGTGGTCACACTTTAAGGCCCTGATATAATCACGGCAAAGTTCTTTGTCATTCTTTGCTTAGGGGTAAAACGAACATCCAACAAAAAACTGCGAGTTCACCAGAATGTCACTAATGTGACTACCTTTAAACTTATTTAAGTCTCCTAAATCTTAAATACACATAAGGTGACAGTGGTCAGTTGAATTTGAGTTGTAAATGACAATGATTTGCCATATTAGTGAATTACTAATTTAACAGACACTAAATATTTATGACTAATCTTCTCCTTTTTCAGAGCTCAGGTAAGATGTCCGAACCCTCCCTCTCCCTCCCTGTGGAGGATTCTCAAGACCTTTATGCTCCCTCGTCCCTGAGTGAGTCCGCCCTCCCTCCGGCTGGGGATTCCCAGGGTCGTTTCTCACTGGAGGAGGACACCCACTCCCAGCTACTGGATGCAGATGGCTTCTTAAACGTCGGTCCTCGTGGCATGCCTAGCCGTTCCCACAAACGGCAGCTTATACTAGACAGTCTGGATGAAAACGCCATGGACGCTAACATGGGTGAGCTCCTAGGGCTCTGCTCAGGGGGCTTTGGATCAGGGAAGACCCAGCCAGGGGCTTCTCAGCCTGCAGCAGAGGATGAGCTCCTGGGGTTGTGCTCTGGAGCTTTTGCTACACAGCCTGAAGAACCAGTCGCCAAGCCCAAGGAGAACAAGACCATGGAGCCAGAAGAGCAAAGAGGGGAGAGTCGAGGCAGCTCAGAGACAGATGGAGTGGCTTTTACTTCACAGAGCCGTAGTTCACTGAGAAGCTATGCCAACAGCTGTCATTATTGCGAATGATTTCTTCGATTTCATAATCGCGCAAAAAAATCGTCTGCGATCCTTTTTTTTTATTTATTTTTTTTTTTTTTTCTTGTAACTTGTGAGTGAACTACGGCTATGTGTAGTAAATGCTGCTCCATCTGAAAGCACGTGATGATTTACTGCTGATTACAGAACCGGCTTTACTAACAAAATGCGCATGACAATCGCATTCGATTAATCGTGCAGCCCTAGGTGGGACTACCTGTTTGTCCATAAAATGGAGGAGTGTTTTAAGAATAAACTGGGTCTTTTTTTATGCAATATTGCATGGTGGCACAGAAATGACTCACTGCAGCTGTGAATGTTAATGTTTGCTTGTATTTGTTACTACTCTTTAAGTGCTTAGTGCTGTAAACAATTTGTTTTTAATTTAAGGACGAAAATGAGGATAAATCAGATGCTGAAGAAGAGGAAACCGAGGAGGAGGTGCAGGAAGAGGAACGAGAAGCGGTCTTTGGACGACGCACTGGCAAAAAGAAAATGTATGTCTATTTTAGTTTTTCAGAGAAATTTCTGAACAATGCAAGTTGTTTAAAAGCATTTTAGTGTGGCAGAGGTTGGGAATTACTGCTAATGAATATATTTTATCTTATATGACAATCATTTTATGTGTGTATATTTATCTCAACGTGATATTTGTGTCCCAACAGCCGTTTAGCAGAGTTTGTGGAATCCGAGGCAGAGTTGTCTGGCAGTGATGTGGGCAGTGAGGATGAGGATGATTATGGTGGTGATGAATATGAGGAGGAGGAGATACAGGAAGAGTTGCCATCAGATGAGGAATTGATGGACCAAGTAAACAAGATTCACATGTAAGAAATGTTATCTTAATCCTCCACTTACCTTGAGTTGTGCTTTTAGTAGGTGGTGGAACAGGTGAGTACCCCAGTTGCAAAAGCAGCTGAAATGCTTGTTTGGTAGCTTTGCATTTTACAGTTCATTGCACATGTGGGCGGGCTTGTCTGCTGCTACAAATTGTTGTAACATCAATGTGCCACATGGGGGAGCCAACCTATTTATCAAAGCTAAGCTGGGTACTTCTGTTATGCCATGTGATCAGTCAATTCCATAATTCCAGCGTTATGTTTAACTGCTTTTAAACCTGATTGCTTTTAGAAATAACTGCACTTCTTTTATAGACTGTCATGGTCTTTCACTAGGAACATGAGGCTCATAATGTTCTCCCAACAGGAAGCAAATCATGGATGATGATAAGCGAAAACTGCGGCTTTATCAGGAGCGTTACCTTGCAGATGGAGATCTGCATTCTGATGGACCTGGACGAGCTCGTCGTTTCCGCTGGAAAAACATTGGTGTGTTCATCTTGTGATCTGGATGCCACCCCTCAGTATGCTGATGTTGAAAAGCACTTGAGAGTGTGACGGGCATCATTTTACAGGGTTCCCACGCGTGTAGGCTGTTAGTACTTTCTTACCAAGTCGATACTGAAATTTTAAAAATGTAACGATACCAGGCATTCTGCAGCACTGGTAGTACCAAGTACAGACTCAATTCAGTACTCGCTTTGGAGTTAGAATAAAATTTGTGGAAAGGGAGTAAAACCAAAAGACATGCTGACAGTTTTACCTTGATGCATGATTCGTGGATGTAGTTAATAGTTCTACCACCGGATGGCGCTGTAGTCTTAAAACGATTGTTAAGACAAAGACTACAAGTCAAGGTGTCTTATTACTTCAACACTCAAGATAAATGTTTTATTGTATAATGATGTATTATGAGCTTTTTAAATATGACATCTCTTCTAAAGTATGATGCAATCAGAGGTGTTTAATTTAGTCAAAATCCAAAATATTTTTTATTTTCAAATAGTTAAAATATACTTTCAATGTTTGTTTGTTTTTTACTATGGTACTGAATTTGGTTCTGAAAATCATTTGTTGTAATATATAATTAAGAGCTCATATTAAAGAGCTGATTTTATAGTTAAGTCATTGCCATAAACTATGTTTTTAAAGACTTTTGGAGAGGAATATATTACTTTAGGGCATGATCCTTGTTTTGTTTTTTTATAAAATTGTGTATTAAAATGTATTTTAAAATATAATTTGCAGTTTTGCGGCCAAGAGTCATGCTTGAAAGGTCAACCCTTGAGCTCTTAGCACAGGCTCCCTCAGGCTATGAATTTCTTCCATCTAACCTGCAAAAACGGAGTTAACTTGAGTTTAACCAGACATGTTTTGGTCTCAGTGGTTTGACTTGAGAGCTCCTGCTGTTTGTATGTTTAACTCATTTTGTAAGTGCTTTTAATCAGCTCTTTCTGAGCTTCTGAGCTTGGAGCTGGAATTGTGTGTGTGTTTTTTTGTTTTGTTTTGTTTTTTATAGATCAACTTTGCTCCAGGGTGAACACAGCCACTGAATTGTGACTATATTGTCAAGAGAATACTGAGATCAGCTCTCAGAAGCCACTGGATAATTCTGGGTTCATTTGTAACATGCGAGTTGGGTTCCAGCAATATGTTGAGTCTCCGCATCACACATTTTGTTTCAACCAATGATCCCTAAAAGAAATGCTCTTTTGAAGATAACTGACCTTGTCAAGCTAGAAAACTAATTCCATGTTGCATGCCAGGACATGTTGTGAGTGTATGTGTGTGTGTATATACAGTGGGTACGGAAAGTATTCAGACCCCCTTAAATTTTTCACTCTGTTAAGTTCTTCAAATCTCAGGAGAAGAAAGAAATTCATACAGGTTTGGAACAGCTTGAGGGTAAGAAAATGACAGAATTTTCATTTTTGGGTGAACTACCCCTTTATTGAGGACTGATTTAATTTTATTAAAGGGGTCATATGATGCTGCTAAAAGGAACATTATTTTGTGTATTTGGTGTAATTAGTCGTGTCCATTTTTGGAAGGGCAAACAAAGTAGTTTCGCGTTCACAACGAAACAGCGTCACACACCGCAGCCTTGAGTGAGCGGAGGCCGGCTTGAGTGGGCTTGAGAACAGCGCGGCCGGTGGATTCGACGAAGGGCTTGCGGCAACCACATGTGACGACCCCGGGCTGGACTCTGCTTCGTCCACGGTGAAAGCCGATCCGGCGATCCACAGCGCAAAATTGTTGTATTTCCTCAGCAACCAGCACGGATCAGCTCCAGGCATGACGAAGCAGATATCGTCCTCTTTTGGAAGACCAAACAAAGTAGTTTGGCTTTCACAACGAATCACACAGCTCTTCACGACATGGCAGCAGCAACAACAAAACTACAGCGAGAATAAAAGTTACACCTTCTTTCTTTGCGTGAACGTTTTGGCGGCGTTATGCAAATCTTCCCACATCATGACGTAGATATGTGGGGGCGTGTTAGAACGAGCCGTTTTTGGTAGGCGTGGCTGACTCTTAACTTTTATAAAGAATATCTCTTTGGATTTGAGACTTTAGTCTTTTTGACGCCGTTTCTATTCCAACTCCTAGGCTTTATACCAATAGTAATTCTATTTTTTATTTGTGTAATCATTACATATGTCATGTAGCCTATGTGTGAAAAAAAAATGTAGCCTAAGCTACATTTAGATAGACCTATAGTTCATGTTGTCGAGTCGAAACCTGAACTTTCTTTCGGATTGTGTAAAAATGCTTCCAATCCTGCAACAACTGAAGGTGTACGTGGCATAATCCCAGAATACAATTATTTCCAACATAAATTGCCCAAGTAAACTATCCAAGGTGTTAATCCTTATTAAAAGCGAAAGAGACATGGTTGCATTAAACATTCCTCAACACGAGGGGGCAATAGCAGTCATATTCAAGTGAAAAGGCATCAATGTTGGTAAGCATGTCTCTTCTAATGTGTGCCCTCAAAGATTTTAAAGTCTCTTTCTCTGTCTTTCTTACCTCTCCCCTCATCTTCCCCTCTTTATGATGCAGTGTGACAGTGAAGTAGCCCCTAGCACTCCACTGGCGTGGAAACGATCAGCTTGGACAGAGAAGGGGCGGCAGAGAGTCAGGGGGATGTGGACAGCCTTGGGGTCCATGCATGATAGATAGATAGATAGATAGATAGATAGATAGATAGATAGATAGATAGATACGCCATGTCAAATCCTCCCAGCTGCCGGTAGGAATTTTTTCAGAGGCTGTCACTTCCATTTAGCTTGGTCTTTTTCGCCTCTTCAGATGAAGTGGTCCCTCTCGTGCCCAGGTCCTGTGGACGCCCTCTGCCACTGAACAAATGCAAAGCGCCGCTAAACGACGACAGGCCGGAACAATGAATTCAACCCGGCTCGCTCTCAGTACCGTGAAATTGCAGATTAAACTGAAAAAGCGGTGCCGGTGACACAGCGTTGCGTTTCTTCAAGAATGCAAATGTGGAAATTGCAACGTTGAACACGCTCACATCACGGACGACCATATTTTTCCTGATGCGACCTCTGTTCAAAATCAAAGTTTTGATTAGATAAAGGGAGAAGACATGAATATATTAGAGCAACACATTGCGTGTGGCAAAATGTTTTAATATTTTTCCTTCAAACTGTTATCTATTGCAGTTTCACTTCATTAGATGCTAGTAGCCTACTGATTCAACCCAATACTGGCAAGTAACTATCCAATTGCAAACGTTTGCCAAGTCACATTTATATATATAAAGTGTGTAAACACAATATAGATTGTGTCAAAACAGCTTCACAATAAACGGGGAAATAGCAATGTTAAAGGTGCTGCATGTAAGTTTTTGACTCTACTAAAGCATAAAAATACCATAATATGTTTGCAGATATGAGGGGCCGGGTGAAAGAAACCCTCTCCAATATTTTGAATTTGGACTGCAATACCTAGTTCAACCACTCGGTGTCAATCCTACATACAGCACCTTTAACGCTGCAGAATTAATCAATTATGAAATAAATTAAATTTCAGCTGCTTCAACAGCTTCAGCCTAATTAATTTAAAATTTTGTTCTCATCTGTTACAGCGTCAGTGCAGTTGAATCAATAATAATGCTCAATATTGTCTTTTAAACCATTGAATTTTATGGAAATACATGCTGTTCACTTTACTACAGGTGCCTATATCAGTTTTACTGTACTGTTTTCCCCAGTTACTTGTAATTATCCCAAAGGTACTAGTATGTTTTTTTCAGTTTAGTATTGCAGTTACACAGTTGTTTTTAACTTGTTTAGTCCGACTGACTACTTTATAGTTCAATTAAAAATCTTATTAGTAAGATTGTTACTAATAAGATTTTTAATTTAACTATAAAAAATCTTATTAGTAAGATTGTTACTAGTAACAATAGGAATACACACTACAGTGTCTAATAAAAAAGTGTTGCTGTCTATTTAATTAGTATGAGAACTTGAATAGATACTAGTATTTAGTAACTAAAGAATTCTAGTCAAGAGGTCAACAATTGAGATCTAAATTACAGATCCCCAAAGAATTCAATGGCAAAATTTGCAGTTTGCTACTTATAACATTTGGTTTAGCGACTAGTAGCAAAGGAAAAAGTAATGAGTAAAATGAAAAAATAGATCTGATAGATTGTTGTAAAGAATAGATTTAAAACATCTTGCCATCCATTGTGTGATTGTCCACCCTACACACGCGCAGCATTTTGAACTATTTATCACACTGAAGACTGCAACCACCATATTTCTCATCCACTGATTGAAGTGGGGCCCACACAAAAACCATGAATACTATTAATTTGCTCTACCCCCCTCGCACCACCTATATTCTTAATCTGAGTTCAAAACATACCCTACTCTTAGCAAACCCTTGGGCTATGAGTCCATAATCCCCAAACTCAGATGAGTCCCTCCGGAGCCAAGTTGTCTCGTAATGCTCAGCGCTGTTTTTTTCTTTCTGCAGACTTCCTGGCTGAAGAATTTATCTCAAATTAGGACAATAGAGCAAGTAAACCCATCATTTTATCTGGACGGAGCAGAAATTGTGCTTTTTTCCCACCGAATGCCACTTTGAACATGTATATTACAGTGCTTAAGCACTATTTTACTTTCAGATGACAGGAAACAAACATTTTCAGTTAATGAGTTCAAACTGAATGAAAATGAAACGCCACCATCCAGACTTTAGATATTCCAAAGTTGGAATAATCCTTAAACAGCCAGGGGCCCCAATTATAGCTTATATATTTGCACCAGTGCGCAGCGTGTGTCTCACAACTGCTGAGAGGGCACAACAGCGAGAGCAGCGATGGCAGGAATTGAGCCAACAACTACCAGACACAAACCAGATGCAGCCAATATCTAGACTGGTGGTGCCTAAATAAAGAGAAGCTGCAAAGAAAGAGAGGTGTATAGATTTACCGAACAGATAATGTGCTTGGAACGTGGCGCATGATGTATGT